TCAAAACACCATTTGATACCCCCCCAAATACACCACTGAATACTACTAAAACCCCCACTGAATACATGAAAACCCCCCAAAACCCCAAAACAAAAGATCAAAAACCACCCCCACATCCCCACACCCCACAAAAAAACCCACAATTTTTTTTTCTCTTTTTTTATCAATTTCACAAAAGTCACAACACCCACACCTCACATTTTTTTTTTTTCCCTTTTTAAAAACTTTTTTAAATCGAAAAAGTCACATAAACAACCCATTTATAACGTCTTTTCGGTATACTATTTTCGACAACAACACCCACACCCACACACCCCAACACCCACAACCCACATCCCCCCAACCCCAACACACAAAACCCCCACATCCCCCCACACCCCAAAACACACAAACCCCCAACCCCATCCCAAACAATTTTTCTTTCCTTTTTTAACTAATTTCATCAAAAGTACAACAACAACAACCCAAATTTATAATCCCCCTTTTGAATAACCCAAAACACCATTTGAGTACTCCCAAACACCCCACGAATACTACTAAAACACCGTTAAATACACTCAAAACACCCCAAAATCACCAAAACAAAGACAACCCCCCAAAACCCAAAAACCCACATTCCCCCATCACCCACAACCCACACACCAACAACCCACAATTTTTCTCGTTTTAAACAAATTTTTCACAGAAAAAGTCACAAAAACAACCCACTTTTATCATTATTCAGAAACTTTTTTCGCAACAACCCCCCACCACCCAATCCCACAACCCCCACAACCCATTTTCCCCACACCCCACAACACCCAAAACCCACAATTTTTTTTCTTTTTTAACTTTTTCATCAGAAAGTCACAACAAAACAACCCACTCCCAACACCCAAAACCCCCCAAACCCAAAACACCTACAACCCCAGCCCCCACAACCCCACAACCCCAAACCCCACAACCCCACAATTTTTTTTTCGTTTTAACTATTTTCACAGAAAAAGTCACAAAAAAACCCCCATTAATCATTTTTTTTCGGTATCTCAAATTCCCAATACATTCCCACAACCCTCTCAATTCCCAATTTTTCACTTTTTTTTCCCTTTTTTTTTACTGAACTTAAAAGTAATACACTTTTCTACCTCATAAAAAATTTCTAATAAAATCCCTCCCAAAAACCCATCCCCTTGTATCCACAAAAATTAATTTATACTCGCATCAACTCCCCAACTATTGCGAAATTTTTTTTTAAACACCCCCCCCATTTTTTCCCCAACAATCATATTTTCATTTTTCTTAATTTTTTTTTTTAAAATATTCAGCCCTTCCCTTTTTATTCATTAAAATTCCCCATATTTCAAATTTAAAAAACCCCCCCATACCCCTCCCCAAATCTCACCCGCTTTTCTTAAAATCCCTCACCCCAATCCCCAAACACCTCTTCTGAAACAAAAACAAAAATCCCACATTTCACACCCACAAATGCATCTCAAACCCACTAAAATCACGAAACCAAGAATTCACAAAAATCAGACCACCTAAACACACACCACCACACACCACACACAACCACACACACAAAAACCCACACCCCCCACACAAAACACCACAAAACCCCAACCACCACACACACAACACCCACCACACACAAAATAACTAGCTAAAACCTATCCTAACCTAACCTAACCAAAAACCTAACCTAACCAAAACCAACCTATCCAAACCCAAACCCCTTCCCTAACTTAACCAAAACCTTTAAACCCAAACCTAACCTAACCCAAACCAAACCTAAACCTAACAACCTAACCTAACCTTTTACCTAACTTAACCTAACCCTAACCTAACCAACCCTAACCAACCAACCAAACCTAACCGAACCTTTTCCCTAACCTAACCTAACCTCCCCTAACCTAACTTATCAAACCTAACCTAACCTACCCCTTAACCTAACCTAGCCTAACCTAACCAAACCTAACCCAACCAAACCTCCCTAACCAAACCCTAACCTAACCTAACCAAACCTAACCTCCCCAAACCTAACTTTCCTAACCAACCTAACCTGCCTAACCTTAACCCTAGCTAACCTAACCTAACCCAACCAAACCAAACCTAACCTAACCTAACTTAACCTACCTAACCTAACCCTTACCAAACCCCAAACCCTAACCAAACCCTAACCTAACCCAAACCTTACAAACCAACCTAACCTATCTTAAAACCTAACCTAACCTAGCCGAACCTATCCCTAACCTTCCTAATATCCTAACCTCCCTTACCTAACCCAACCAACCTAACCTACCCTACCCTACCCAAAGCTATTCCTAACCAAACCCTAAAATATATTGGAACATTC